GTTTTATTTAACTCTATTTATCATGACTTACTTTCCAACCTGACTCTGGCATAATATTATGAGACAAGAAAGAAAATCAAAAATTTTAACCCCAAACCATATTTCTTTGCCATATCTTGAAATGGCCCTGCAAAGCTGACCTTTGTGGGAGAAAATTTGCATCTGTAAAGAATCTCTGTTAACATAGCTAGATCTTTTTCTTCCAGGCCCTCCCAATTCTAAAGAGATTAACTAAAAGTCTAGCACCTCTTAAAGATCTGAATAGGAAACACTTGTCATCTATTGTCTCTAAGGGCAGCCATTGTAAGACTTCAAAAGAAATGTGGTCACCACAATCTTTCATCTTAACCTGAACATTTCCTTTCTACTGATCCCAGGTCTTTAGACAAACTCAACTAATTATCAACTAAAAATGTTTAAATTTACCTATAGCCTGGAAGCCTCCCCCTACCCCCCAATCCCGTTTTGAGTTGTCCCACCTTTCTGGACCAAAACAATGTATTTCTTAAATGTATTTTGATTGATGTCTCATGCCTTTCTAAAATGTGTAAAATCAAGCAGTGCCCGAGCACCTTGGGCTTATGTTCTCAGGACCTTCTGAGGGCTGTGTCATGGGCCATGGTCACTCATATTTGGGTCAGAATAAATCTTTTCAAATATTTTACACAGTTTGACTCTTCATTGACAGTTATAGGAGAAATATATATACTCTGAGTTTAGAGAAAGCCTGTTTCGACTTCTGCATGACTTTCATCTAATATTTGTGTCTTCTTATTTTTTATGCTCCTTCTATGTTATCCTGTCATAGTACTTTTTAGGGAGTGTACTGTTCCTGGTCTCTATGCCCTTTTCAGGCCACAGCTTATGTATTTATCCATTTACCATCAAAATTGGGCAAGGGAATAACAGGTGACATTAAGTGGCTCACTTATGTGTTAAATATGCCTCTTCCTGCCTCTGTTGTATATTAGTAGCTTTATCTCCTCCTGATAATCAAATTCAATTACCTCTACCAACCAGGTGACTTTTCTTGTCTGCTGCTCCTTTGTTATGTGAAGCCCAAAGGGCTAGACTGACAGCCATAGATTAAAGTTCATGGGGACTCTTGCTGTTTCCCCTAGTAGAAGCTTTATTTCTTTGGTAGTGAGGACTTCTCAACCTGCAGAACCCAGCACTGTGAGGCAGGAAACAAAAATTCCCCATGAGGTGGTTCATGGGGAGTGATATAAGTGAGATGATCTATTCTTCCATCTCTTGGTTTTCAGACCCATGCATTTACATCTTGAGGACAGAGCCATTATCTATGTATATGTGTGTATGTGTATATGTGTGTGTATGTGCATATTGCAATCTGGAGAACAGTGGCCCATTCTTGTAGGGTATTGTCTCTGAGCTGGTGCCTTAGCCATACCTTCTTGAGTAGGCTTTTCTTTGCTTTAGCAGGCTGGCTAATTCTGGGTAATGCTGTATGTGAGAAGACCATGGAATCTCAAGCTCATGTGTCTACTGCTGTGCTTCCACTGGTCAGATGTGACTTTGTGTGAGATTCCATGTTGATAGAGCAAACATCTTTAAACTTTTCGATAACAATATAGTCTAAGGCCCTATAGAAAGGAATGGCAGCTGGCAGTGGCTCATGCCTGTAATCCCAGCACTTTGGGAGGCCAAGGCAGGCGGATCACCTGAGGCCAGGAGTTCAAGACCGGCCTGACCAACATGCTGAAATCCTGTCTCTACTAAAAAATGCCAAAATTAGCCAGGCATTGTGGCATGTGCCTGTAATCTCAGCTACTCAGGAGGCTGAGGTAGCAGAATCGTTTGAAACCGGGAGGTGGAGGTTGCAGTGAGCTAAGATTGTGCCACTGCACTCCAGCCTGGGTGACAGAGTGAAACTGTCTCCAAAAAAAAAAAAAAAAAAAAAAAGAAAGAAAAAAAAAAAAAATAACAAACAATTTAATAATACGCCTTATAGCAGGAAAAATAAATCATTGCTCTTCCAGGGTAGAAGGTGTCAACTTGCCACCAAGTATCTCCTTGATGTCCTTGAAAGCCTCCTTCTTTTACCTGTAGTCTTTAATTGCTATTTACTCACCCTCGGCTATTTTTAAATCATATTTTCTAAAGCATGGTCTCCAGCAGCAGCCATCCGATTCCATTGTCATTATAATTTTACTATTTTCCCGACACTTCTCGAACTGTAGATTAATTCTGTCATGCATATCCATGTGAAGAGACCACCAAACGGGCTTTGTGTGAGCAACAAGGCTGTTTATTTCATCTGGGTGCAGGTGGACTGAGTCCGAAAAGAGAGTCAGCAAAGGGAGATGGGGGTGGGGCCATTTTATAGGATTTGGGTAGGTAGTGGAAAATTACAGTCAAAGGGGGTTGTTCTCTGGTGGGCAGGGGTGGGGGTCACAAGGTGCTCAGTGGGGGAGCTTTTGAGCCAGTATAAGCCAGGAAAAGGAATTTCACAAGGTAATGTCATCACTTCAGGCAGAAACCGGCCATTTTCACTTCTTTTGTGATTCATCAGTTACTTCAGGCCATGTGGATGTATATGTGTAGGCTTGGGCTCAGAGGCCTGACAAATTCCATATGCTTGTGTAATTCCTTACATTTGTATGTCATCCCGATTTACCACCAGTCAGAGGTTAATATTTACGCTGCTACGCTATTACCTTGTGTTGGGCACTTTGTTCCTATTCCCAACCTTAGAAAAGCATTCCTTATGGCCAGCCAACCAGCAGCTGATTAAGTTCCAGAATTTAGTAATTATTGTAGCTTGGATTTCCTGGGAGGTCAATTCTGAGACTGAGATTAACAAGAAGGAAGTTTACTAGGGAGCTGATATGGTTTGAATCTATGTCCCCACTCAGATCTCATGTTGAATTATAATCCTCAATGTTGGAGGTGGGGCCTGGTGGGAAGTGATTGAATCATAAGTGTAGCTCCTTCACCAGTAGTTTAGCACCATCCTTTCATTGCTGTTCTCTTGATACATTTTCATGAGATCTGGTTGTTTTAAAGTGTATGGCACCTTCCCATACTCTCTCTTCCTCCTACTCTGGCCATGTAAAGACATGCCCACTTCCTTTTGCTTTCCATCATGATTGTAAGTTTCTTGAGGCCCCTTCAGTCATGCTTCTTGTACAGTCTTGGAACCATGAGCCAGTTAAACCTCTTTTATTTATAAATTACCCAGTCTCAGGTATTTATTTATAACAGTGCAAGAACAGACTAACACAAGAGTAGGCTCAGAATTAAACCTTCGGATAGGCTTGTCATATTAGCAAATAATAATACAGGACTACCAGTTAAGTTTAAATTTTTGGTAAACAATGAGTAATTTTTAATATAAAATACAGTATTTGGGACACAATTATCTGAAATTAAAGTTTAACTGGGTGTCCTGTATTTTATGTGACTACTCTATCAGTGGAGGAAGGGAAGGAAGTTGACAGTGTCTTTAGCCTCAGCTGGCCCTTTAGAGAACTCTGAAGTTAGGCTGCATCTTCAATTTTGTCACGAATTGGGGCAAGGAGGCTGAATTCTATGTCCTAGAATTTACCAGTCATTGGGTGTAGACTGTAGCCAAGAGAGAATCATGACCTTGGGGAAGGCAGCTCTCTTCAGCTGAGATTAATTTGCTGAGAAAGCTAGCAGCTGAGGGCTGTCAGTCAACAGTACTCCCAGAAGCCAGGGGAATACAGTCCTGAAGGGAGTACCTGGCAGGGTACATCAGAGTGTCTATTTTCATCATCATCATTGTTATCAACATCCTCATTCTTTATCTCTTCTCATGTAAATGCTCTTAAGGTTATGCGAAAAACCACTTTGGTAACAGTTCCCAACCAGGGTCTTTGTCACTGCTAAAGGTTGTGGATGAAGGTCATCTCCCCAAATAAGGCCTTGATGCTAGTTTCTAAGACCCGTGCTCTCCCTCCCTAAACTCTATGGTATACCATCCACAGATCAGGGTCCTGCCATTGCTCTGGAGACCACACAGGAACTCTTGCTCAGAACAAGCCTTGTTTGTGGCCTTGGATACTTATTCCTATATGTTCTTTCTTCTTATACTAATGGGGGTCAAGACTTTGGATTAAGGCTGAACAGTTCCTCTATGTTCTTGATTTTATCTTGGCTTCTCTCTTCTGGGACTTTAATCCATTTACTTTTCCCTCTTTCCTGCACTTTTGAGTTCTCTTCAGCTTAATAGAATTCAAGTCTCATATACTAAAAGGCACATACTCTTGACCCATATTTTCTTTAGCTTCAATTTAGTCAATCCTCTTGCATCTTTAGTCCTTTAAAAGTGATCTGCGCTTGCTATTTATTCTCTCTCATTTTCTCTACCTGCTGCCATTTGGCTTACAACAATCCTCACCTACTAAAGGGGTAAAAGGCTACTAGTTTCCTCATAATTGCCTAAGCCAGTGACCACTCTTTCAGCCTTTATTTTCCTGGAATTTTCTACTGTATTTGAAGTCATAGTTTAACCCCTCCTTTTGAGAGTCTTTACTACCTTGATTCTACAACTCTACAATCTCCTGGCTCCCTTCATTTCTCAGGACTTAACTCCTCTCACTTCATCTTTTGCTTTTGTGCCTTAAATGTTAGTGTTGTTTTATTTTATCTCAGCTCTCTTATGATTCTATATATTCTTCCTGAATAATACTATTTCCTCTATAGCTTCAACTAACATTTATATGCTGCTTACTCTTGATTTTATCTCTCCACCTAAGATCTTTCCAGAAATGTACAGATTTGAAACTCAAGTTTGTATATTCAACTCTTCATAAGTTATTTCTATTTGGGTGTTCCACAGATGCCTTGAGGGTAATATGGACAAAACTGAAATGGCCACAATACTAGATCTTCTTCCATATATAAGTTTTTAACACTCAGACACCCAAACTTGAATTCTTAGAGCTATCTCTGATTCCTTTTTTCTCCTCGTTTTTTATATTCAATAAGTCATCTAGAGTTCATGTCCTTTGCAGGGACATGGATGAAGCTGGAAACCATCCTTCTCAGCAAACTATCACAAGGACAGAAAACTAAACACCACGTGCTCTTACTCATAGGTGGGAATTGTTCAGCTGAACAACTGAACAAGATCACTTGGACACAGGGCAGGGAACATCACACACTGGGGCCTGTCACAGGGTAGGGGGCTGTGGGAGGGATAGCATTAGGAGAAATACCTAATGTAAATGACGAGTTGATGGGTGCAGCAAACCAACATGGCACATGTATACCTATGTATCAAACATGCACATTGTGTACATGTACCCTAGAACTTAAAGTATAATAATAATAATAAAAATATATATATATGTGTCATATAGTCCTCATAAATTTACCTTCTAAATAATTGTGGAACTTCTCTATTTCACAGTCTAATCTTTCTCATATTTTTCTTCCACAGAACTGCTACAGTGATCTGAAATAAAAATATAACAATGGCAGTCTTTTGACTAAAATCCCTTATTGGTTCTCCATCAAGTATAATTTGAAGTCAAAGATGAAACTTTCACTCTGGAACTAGACTTACCATCCTTCCACACACAACTAGAAAACTGGACTACATATGCAGCAACAAGTTTTGGATATTGATCAAGCAGTTGGCACAGTTCTGAAAGAAGGAAAACAAATAAGATAAGCCTATAGTCAGATAAGTCCCAGCTTTCTGCTTTCAGGCACTTTCTGAACTACAGTGCAGGGATGGTTATCTCCATCAGAGCACAGTGGTATCATTGAGTTAAGCAGACAGAGTCTAGTGTACAGGAAGATTGATGTATCTGGAATTTGTGAACAGAATAACAAAGAGGTTAAAGTTGCATGGAGAAAGAATGTCAAAAATCTGTATAGGAATCCCATAGAGTTTGTTGCTAAATACTAAGCTGTGCATATGTCAAAGAAACTCCCCGAGGCCAGGCAAAAAAACTGCTAGAAAGCTGTAAATTGAAAAGTTTCCAGAATTCATACAGGGTCGGGAGACATTTGAGTTTTGGCCAGCTAGAATCAAGAGTCTTTTTGAACACCTGGCCTTTAGGGGCGATGTCAAAGGGGCTATACCTTAGTCATGTGCCTAAATTGTCTTTTTCAACTGAGGTTCTATGAAACATAATATGAATAAGTATTTTCTTAATTCTCTCAAGGTTGGTATAATACCATTCTAAATACATTAGTGAGAAATTAATTCATTACCTACAGCATTGCCTTAGACATTAGGGTTTAATTCTCTTGTGGAACATCCATTGAGAGGGAGTATTTTAATACCCTCTCTTCAAAGCTTAAAAACAAGTTTCAAAAGGATCAACTAAATATATTGCTTGCTAGACCAAAATCTAGCCCCCAGCAATGTGAAATACACAATATCTGTCACCTAATCAAAAATTCCTAGACCCTGACATTCAGAATTTACAAGGAACTTAAATATATTTACAAGAAAGAAACAACCCCATCAAAAAGTAGGCAGAGAATATGAACAGATACTTCTCAAAAGAAGACATTTATGTGGCTAACAAACAAGAAAAAAAGCCCAACATCACTGATCATCAGATAAATGCAAATCAAAACCACACCAGTCAGAATGGTGATTATTAAAAAGTCAGGAAACAATAGATGCTGGCAAGGCTGTGGATAAATAGTAACACTTTTAAACAGTTGGTGGGAATGTAAATTAGTTCAACTATTGTAGAAGACAGTATAGCGATTCCTCAAGGATCTAGAACCAGAAATACCATTTGACCCTGCAGTCCCATTATCGGGTATGTACCCAAAAGAATATAAATCATTTTACTATGAAGACACATGCATGTGTATATTTATTGCAGCACTATTTACAATAGCAAAGACATGGATCCAACCCAAATGCCCATCAATGATAGACTGAATAAAGAAAATGTGGCACATATATACTATGGAATACTATGCAATCATTAAAAGGAAAGAGATCATGTCATTTGCAGGGACACAGATGAAATTCAACAAAATTATGTTTTAAGGTAAAGATTTTGTGGTCCATAAGCCACTCTCTTCAAAGGAATTTATGATGGAAGCCAACTAGAGAGATATGTGGCTTCCTATCTTTGCAGTTATCTGTTTAGAAACAAAAAGGAAGATAGTTTTTGTGTGACTCTGTTCCCAAGCTGAACTTCCCTCTGATACAGTGAGTTTGATGTCCCAAAATTTTATTTTCCTTTCACAGTCTCAGTGAACTTTGGGACAATATCAAGCAGTCTATCAAATGTGTGTTTTCAGTCCCAGAGAAGGGAAAAGCAGAATAAAAATTATTTAAAGTCCAAGACAATTTACATCTCTCACTATGCATTTAATAATCTAGCTTTTGCCTGTCTTTCAAGTTTCAAATCTAAACCATTTCCTGACATTCAATTTTCTCTTCAGTTCACTACATGACTCAGTTTATCACACATACCATGCTATTTCTTATCTCCATATCTTTGTTCATTCTACAGTCTGTGCCTAGAATGCCTCTAACTCTCATCCTGTGCAACCTAATTCCTATTTGTGTCATCTCCAAGGAAACTTTCTTTATACTTTCCATTCATTTTCCACCCAACAAGAGATAGTTGTACTCTTTGGTGCTTCCAAAAATACTTTTGCATATCCGTAGTGCTGCATTAAACCATTATATTGCTGAGATCTGGTTTTCAGTCTGTTTCTTTTTTTTTCTACTAGAAGGAGTATGTGTAATACATATTTGTATCTCCAGCACTTAGTAGAAGGATTGGCATAAGATTATTTAAAGAAGAAACAAGTAATGACTTCATTGATCTGGCTTTGGGTCTAAGGTTGATACACATACCATTAACAATAATAAAATACCATTAACAATAATAAAAATCAAATTTCCCTTAAATCTCATTCATTATGGCTCATATATTTGAAAATAAAAATATATTATAAATAATAAGTCTACATTTAAAATCTGAATATAATATTTTGGTAACTTATTTGTCATATGTATGTATATAGTAGAAATATATTTATTTTTCACTGCATAAAGCTTCAGTAAATAAGTCCAGGAATCCAGATGAGGTATTATGGAATCTATAATTCAAACACTTTCAAATTTTAATATGTCCAAAGAACTTTTGGGAGACTTATTAAAATGTAGCGTACCTTGCCTCACTTCCAGAAATTCTGATTCAGTACATCTAGACAACAGCCTAGAAATTTACATTAAAAATAACTACTCAGGAGATTCTGTTGTAAATGATATATAATGTCTGGTAGATACAAATATTTATGATCTATTGATAAAAAAATTGATTCTTTTATGTTGTAGTTAGAGAAATGCCATTTAATAATGTATCCTACATTTTCACTTTACTAGATAAGAAAAAATTGAGGTTTAAAAGACCAACATTTACCCTCTTCTGAAATAACACACATTAACTACATTAATTTTAAAGTTCTGAATAAACTTCACACTTCAGCAGTTAATGGAGACTAGTATGAACATTTTCATAGATACAGGAAGAAAAAGCAAGCAGAATTATTCTCTTTATTATATTTTAAAATGTGTTTTCTAAAGAAGAAAACATTCTCTTTAAAATTTTTTGTTTGATTTGGAGAGCTTGATTCCTGGAGGAACAAATGGTCACTGAAGGCTCATGACTGAAAGGCTGAAGGGAGACTGCTGTAATCTACGTGTTCAGCAGTCGGTACAGTTAAGAGCGAGATTTCCCACCTGATTGCTCCATTCTAAATATTGTATTAACTCAGTTACTTAAGGGTATTTTAGAGAACAAGTTAATGGGCAATCTTGTCATATTATATTACATGCAGCAATCATGCTGTGTTGAATGGCCACATAAAAGAGAAACTTTAGAAAAACTGAGCCAAGTTAGAGAATAAGAAAGTTAAAGACTTATTTTTATATACAAAGTTACAAGCCATGAAATGTCTTATAGAATATTACATTTGGCCTATGTAACTTGGGCAAATAATTTACTGATATAATCTCAAAAGCGCATTATTTTGGATAAAATTTTGAGTTTAATTTATTCTTTTTGATTACACTAAGTTTCTCACATCATAGTTTACATCGCATATTCACAAGTTCTCTGAAAGACTACTTATCTACTTTTCCACCTATCAGTCTATTTATAAATTTAATATTTAAATGTATTCATGTGAGAAATGCAAAATGCTTTTTCCTTGGTGCCGCAAAGCAATAGCACTTGAACATAAATTTAATTATCTCAGCAAGGCAATTTTTACTTCTGTAGAAGGGTGTGACTCACGAATGGAGTAATGTCAAGAGCATACCTGGATAGGGGAGGGGAAAGAATTCTTATTCCTGATGCAGATAGCCCCTGCTGCTGTGTCGTTCCCTATTGGCTACGGCTGGATGGCACAGTCTAAGCTAATTCCGATTGGCTATTTTAAAGAGGTCAGGGGTATGAGCCAGAGTGGTGGGGTGAGTAGTTTGGTGGGAAGGACGGTTAGGAACAGGTAACTAGAGGTGACTTAGGTCAGAGCAGGTGACCAGGAGTGACTTAGGTCAAAGCAGGTGACCAGGATGAGTCAGGATGGAGCAGTGACCAGGGAACAGATGTGAACTACTGATTAAGACTGGTGGGAAAGTTGTTTACTGAAATTAGAAGCAAGGGAGCGAAGAGAACCAGGAAGTTAAACTTTAAAATGGAGAATCAAAGAATAAGAGAGCTGAACATATGAAGAGAAACTTGGGGTTCATTATATTTAACATTCACAAAATTTGGAAATGAAATTCTCCAAGAAGATGGTATTTCAATTCTAGAGGGTCCTAAAACCCCTATCCCAATATAGATCAGATGTGGTAGAATCTTGCGTCATTTTCAGTCAGGTCCATTGTACTCTCTATTCCTCTAAAGACCAGGTAATTCCTTTCTTGGATCAGACTACTGCGGGTCTCATTGGATATCTGATTCATGGGTCAGCAAACATGGAATATGTAATTGCCACCATAACAATTATAGCAAAGAGGAAAACAAATGTTAATGTGAACATAAAAATGAATATTAATGGCTCACTGAAACCAATATAATATTGAACCACATGATTCCATCACCTCCATTTTCAATGTGGATCTCTATGTCAATCTTTTTTGATTCATTTAGGTTTTTATATTCCTTTTCTTTTTTAATACTTTATTCATTATGGAAATGTATTTAGTCTTATTAAAATATGCTCAATAAATTTAAATCACTTATAAGTAAACTCTTTTTTAAACTTTTAATTTTTTGTTTTATATTCAGGGAGTACATATTTATGTTTGTTACATGGGTACATTCCCTGCCAGTGGGAATTGGCCTTCTAGTGTACCCATTACTCAAACAGTGAACATCGTACCTCACAGGTAAGTTTTGAGTCCTCACCCTCACTCCCACCCTCCTTCCTTTTGGAGTCCCCAGTGTCTATTATTTCCATGTTTATGTCCATGACTTACAATTAAACTCTTAAAATATGTTCACCCTGAAGGAAAGTAGAGTATCTCACCCCCAAATATACTTTTTTGGTATATTTTGAGATGGATATTCAGAGGGGCTACAGACACAGGAATAGTTCTGAAGAGTTGTCCTTTTGTGGAGGAGATTTACATCTGTAGAGGAAATCTACATTAGTGAAGTAAACAGTAGATGCAAACAGGATTTCCATGAGACCTTATCTACATTATCTTGATCTAGGTAAGATTAACTTAGGAAAAAGAGACACTTTTGAAGCTCTAACAGAGAAACTTTCACTATAGGCTATTATCTAATCTGAGAGCTGCTACCTGAGAGATTTCATCTGCATAACAAGACAGTTTTTACTTGATATGCAATTCCTCCCCTCTCCCTCCCATAACTGATCTCCAGGCTCCAAGCCTCTATTCCTTTCCAAATGGTATTAAAACTTCAATACTCTCAAAGAAGTGTGAGATTTCTCTGAGTCTCATACTTTTGTGTGTGACCCCCATGTCTATGCATGCAATAAGTTTTTTCTCCTGATAATCTATTGTGCCAACCTCAAATAATCAAAAGAGTCAGAATCTAATTTAAAGAGAGTTTATTCAGGTGCAGAATTTGAGGATAACCTTCTTGGAAATACCAACTCCTAAGGGATGGAATCAGCATTCAGAAGTAGGGAAGTTAAGGTTTCATTTAGATAGGCAGAGACAGATGAGTTTTTAGCAGGATTACAACATTTTACATACAAGGCTAGAGCATAATTACAGCAATAAGATTGGTTACAGTTGGTGTTTCTTTTGGGGAAGGGTACATTTAACATTTTTTACAGAGGGCATAATAGTCATGGGTTTTGTCATCTGGTCTAAGGAAAGTAGGACAACAAAGGAGAAGTTAATCTATAACAAGGGTCATTAAAAGGCAGAGATTTGTGTCCCTGATATCATTTAATTCTGTCTAGTCACTGTAAAGAACAAGATAAATAAGAAAGTGAGTTAATTTATAATCTGAGAAACAGAAGTTGTAACCATATGTGACTCAGATCACAGTCACATCTTTCTTAAGGCTTAAAGTGTTTCAGGGGTTCCAACAGCTTTTAACTTGTGTTTATTTTCACAATTGTCAAATCATTTCAGCAGACTTAGACGCAAATTTTCAGAGACAAAGTTTCAATTTCCCTAAAACCCTTAGTTTTGCCTTTCCCATGCACTGGTTAATTGTGGTTTATGCCTAACTACCTCCTGTATCAATCTTTAGTTTTAGAGAATGTTTCCAGAAGGGATTAAGGCACCTTTGAATTCCATTTAGTACATGTCCAACAGATTGTTACTTCCCCTTTCCTTATTTTTCTTTGTAGGACCAGCAATCACCCTCTTCTTTTGATGCCTGGTTTATATCTTTGAGCTCAGCTCTAGTAAAATCTACCTGCCACTCTTAACTCTTTTATGCATAAATCTTTGTTTTGAGCAATGTAGCAGCTTGCTTACACATGGTGGCTTTGGAATCAGACAGCCTTGGTTTAAATCCCTATCCTATCACTTGCTAGGTATGAACAATTTAGATATCCTTTCTAAGTATTGGTTTAAAAATCTATAAAATGGGGATTCTTTGAGGTTTGAGGTTTAGTTGAGATGGTAAAGGTAAAATACCCGGCACATAATAAATATGCAATACATGTAATTCATAGTTGTTATCATTGCTATTATTGTTATGGTAGGTAGCTAGTCAGAAATGAGCAGGGCAGGAGAGGCTCCCTGTCCCACCAGAAGTGTCAGGCAACCATCTGGTGATGGTCAGGTAGTTGTTAAACTGCCTCTCTAAAATAATAATTGATCACAGCCAGTGCCAGGGAAAGGCAGTCTCCCAATAAACAGAAACACCTGAAACTGGTGATTAGCAGTTTCCCCATAAGATCTCAGGAGCTGGGCAAGTGTGCTCCTGCATATACACTAAGAGGCAAAAAGGTGGAGTTTAACTGGCATATGACCATCTAGGAACATTTGGACTGCTAAGGGAAGAACGCCTCTGGTAAGCATGCGTACAACTCCATTAAACACGCTGTGCATGCCGCCCCTTCCAAATGCTGATAAGTCATTGCACATGTAGGCAGCCCACCCCAAAGGAAGAATCAGGGGAGAAGGGACGCAAGACCCTGGAAGCATGCTAACATATAAAACCCCAAGTCAAAGGTCAAACAGTACACTCGATCTCTCAAGTAGTCTGCTTGGTCCTCTTCCAAATGTACTTTCTCTCATTCTTGTTCCCAAAGTGCTGGGATTACAGTTGGGAGCCACCACGCCTGGCTCTCTAAACCTTTTTTTTTTTTGAGACAGAGTTTTGCTCTTGTGGCGCAGGCTAGAGTGTAATGTCTCCATCTCGGCTCACTGCAACCTCCGCCTCCCGGGTTCAAGTGATTCTCACGTCTCAGCCTCCCGAGTAGCTGGGATTACAGGCATGTGCCACCATGCCTGGCTAATTTTGTATTTTTAGTAGAGACAGGGTTTCACCATGTTGGTCAGGCTGGTCTCGAACCCCCAACCTCAGGTGATCCACCCTCCTCGGCCTCCCAAAATGTTAGGATTACAGGCCTGAGCCACTGTGCCTGGCCTAAAGATTTTTAATAAACTTTCACTCTTGCTGTAAAAGTTGCCTTGGTCTCACCTTCTGCCTTATGCCCCTCAGTTGAATTCTTTCTTCTGAGGAGGCAAGAATTGAGGTTGCTGCAGGCCGATACAGATTCATGGCCACTTTGGTGCTGTGTGACTTGGATATGTTCCCTCCTGCTAACCTTATCTCCTGTGCTTTCCAAAGTTTCTGGGATTTCTGCTTTTTACTTTTTGTTGGATGTCTGCAACTGTGCTATACTGAGAGTGATTTAGAAGAAGTAACAAAGCTGTTTGGATCATCATGTACTACCACTCTTTTCTCTTAATATCATGTTTCAACTGACTATATAAGTCTCCTCCCACTGCCAATTTCTAGGAAATTTAAGAATGGCTGGCTCCTGAAGACTGGAAACATGCCTACAGAGACTGCCTGTTCCATTTCTCAGTTCTGGTACAAGTTGTATAAAATACTGGGTTCTATAATCCTGCAATCATTAACATAACAGAATCTACCTTTATATATAGTAATTGTCAATACATGCATTTCAGAGCAGAAAGGTTGTTTAGAACACACCACTCTAAGGTATTTATTAGCTGCTAGGTGGCTATGTGAGAAGAGTAGATTTTACTTGAAGTCAAGTTGTAGATACGGAGTATAAGCCAAAAATATGCTTATTTCTTCAAGGCTTTGGTCAGAAATAGAGTATTCATAAGACACAGGTGAAAGTAAATGTGTAATAACAAGGACCTAGTGAGGCAAAGGGTTTGTTCACAGGTGAATCCAGTGTGCCTGGAGGGAGGCTGAAGCTGAGAAGACTGCAAGACAGTTGAGGTTTTCAGGATCTAAGTTCATCGAATAAGGCAAAATTATAAACTTTTAATTATATCTTCCTTATAAAGTTTGAGGTCTAAGATTTCTAAAGCTGTGTTAAAATAGCCTGGACTTTTGAACCACATACAGTAAGAAAGACTACCAGTGGAGAAAAGGGCTTATGAATACTAAAATTGTATCTTTGAAGGAGAAATATTCTCTATTATTTTAATTGGTGACAGCTAAATTTTAATGGGAAGATTGTGGATGGCTCAGAAATTCTGTTGGAGATTGTGATCAACATTTTTCATTATTTATATTTCTGATTATTGGAATATAGAAACATTCTTATGCTTTTGAGAATTTTGTTGAAGTTCTTGATTTAGTGATAGCTTGTATCTTTTCAACTGTGCATTAACATCATGACTGCTTAGCAGTATTTTGATGCTTTGCGTTTCTTTTAGCTTAAAGGAGCATTGCTTGCAGAATACTTAGAAGTAAAATGATTCCTGTTGAATTAATCTTTATTTTATTGCTTATGAAATTATCTATAGAATGAAATTTTATATGACATATAACCATGGTCTGCCTCTTAAAAATTGCTGTATTCTTGGTTTTATATGCTTTCTTTGGCTCACATCAATGGCAATATATTCAAGGCATTAATTTGTTGGTCAAATTTACATAGCACTGTATATGAAATGCTCTTACATTTTATTTAAAATTAATTTTATCAGAGCAGAATGGGCATGCTAAAAATTCAACTAGTATGGAAAAGGTTATAATAAAAAATTTCTACTCTGCATACTCACTTGTCAGAAGCAATCATTTTCAACTGTTATTATCATTTGTTGGTTGATTCCATAGCTTATAATAAGCTATTTCTTGAAATGTCAACTCTACTGTCTCTATTATGAAAGATACATATTTAACTCATACTATTTAAGCCTTTCTGTCCTCCCAATTATTGAGATTAGTATTATAAATTATTCCATTAGCTCCCCTTGTAATTTTAAACATTGTACGTAAACTTATATGTATTATTTCATCATATTCAGACAATAACTCTTGATTTTGAACTAATGTTAAAACATGTTTTTTTGCTACTTTATTATTCATTTTCAAATTTTGCCACCTAAAATTTTACTTTCACATTATTGATGTTGATAATATTTATATTTGACTCTGCAGATATAATTGGGTCTTCTGTTGTTAATTTGTTTCTTGGTTCAACATAAATATTCCATGCTTTATTTATATCCATATCTGCAGAAATATTCCATGAATTATCTACATTTTAATAAATATCTCAGTATTTGTTTATAGATTGATTCTAAATAAATTTTATTATTTTAATGTTTTTAGCTTCAGATCCAAATGGTATACTAGAATTCTCTTCCTAACAGTCCACTGTCAAGTCTTCACTGTTAGAAGAAGGATCACACCAGAATTGAGGTCAAATGGATGATCTTATTCTTAATTGTTGAAAATCACACCTCATTGAAATTTGCTTCATAACTGAACTATGAATTTTTCATCAGACATACTTTTGTGTTTCTCCTCATGGCATTCTTTATGAGGAACTTCTTTTTGGAGCTTACTGGCTTTCTGTTCTAATTTGGTTCAGTTATTTTCTAGAATTGCTACATGACTGTCATCCTGGGACTTCCTTCTGTTGGAATCTTGGAGAGCTTACAGCTTTTCATATCCTTTCTTCTTTTGTGTTTTTCACCGTGAAGTGTACAAAGTCAAATGAATTTCCTAGAAAAACCAGAGAGTTAATATTTTGAGTCCTTGTGATGGGGGGGTCAAGGAAGTGCTGGGTAGAGAAGGGCGGGGTCCCTGGTGAGGGCTCCACCCTCAGGCCTGTACCCACAGACCTAAATGAGGACCGGCATTTCTGTTTTCATGCCCCAAAAGTTGCCTTTTGGCCCACCAGGTGCCCCATCCTGTACCCACAAGAACTCAAGACCCTAGAAGGCACAGACACAAGTGGCTGGATGTCAAGAGAGCAGAAGAACACAGTGAAAGACACCAGCAGACAACATCAGGCAATAGACAGCAGCATGATGTGGAATTTGGCTGGGGGCAGTTGGAGGAGAGAATGGCTACTGGGCGACCTGACTCCAGGGGAAGACCACCTTCCCACTCCATCCCCCTTCGGGCTCCTCATGCATCTCATGAGAGCTACCTCCACCACTCAATAAAACCTTGCACCCATCCTCCAAGCCCATGTGTGATCTGACTTCTTGGATACACTAGGGCAAGAACCCGGGATACAGAAAGCCCCCTGTCCTTGTGATAAGGCAGAGGGTCTACTGGAGCTGATTTAGCCACCTGGAGAAGGCAAAGCTGAAAGAGCACATGGCAGCACATGCCCACTGGGGCTTTGGGAGCTGCAAACACTCAACCCTAGACACTGTCGTGGGGTCAGAGCCCCCAAACACTCCCCACGACCTGCTCATCTGCATGCTCCCCTCAGGAGTTTGAGCAGTGGTCACTGAAGAAGCAAGCCACACCTCTGTTGCATGCCCTATGAGGGGGATAAGGGAACTTCTCCTATTTCATCTGAATATCTGAAACTATCTTTAATTTGGACTCATGTTTTATTTATAATTTGTCTCGATATAGAAGTAAAGGTATAATTTCCTATAGAAATTTGAAACATTGTTCCCTTGTCACATCTTGCTGATAAGAAACGTTACGTCAGATGATTTTTGGTCTGATACTATAGAAAGTTTGATTAACTTATTAAATAATTATATTTCAATATGATTCATTTGATAATCATTTTATTTTATTTTTATTCTGTCATGTCCATTTAAGTTGTATAATACTTTCAGATATAGACATAGAATTTGACAAAGTTCCTATGGCAAATATGAAGCTGCATAAAATCTGCTTCCTGACCCAGGGAACTTGGAGGTTGTTGTGATTATGATTATTTTATATTATGCTCATACTACTTAAAACTCATTTGTTCTTTCTTAGTTATTATAATTTCTTAGGACTTTCAGATCACAGATTATTGTCCCATTACTTTGTCATATATGTTTTGCTTTTAAGAAAAAAAGTTCAGCTGCTTTATTTTTTATATCAAAATACACAATTTTGGCATTTGGAACATGAGAGAGGATGAGAAAAGAAACTTAGAAGATATCATTAGTATTAATTAAGGTAAAATACATGTGTATCACTATAGCAACATGTTATATCATTTAAAAGTATACATTTTGGAGCTAAGTAGAAAATGGATTCAAATAACAACTCTTTTCTTTGTGTCGATTTTGGAAAGTTACTATTTCTCAGCTCCAGTTTCCTCACCTATAGAGCAGAGCAAATCATTTCTACCTATGAAATTATTAGGATGTGTGAAATATGGTATACAAAAAGCCTGGCTTATAGTTGGCATCAGTGTAATATAAGCATTTTTGTATACACTCTCTTTATATGTATTATTATTATTATTATTTTGAGACGGAGTCTTACTCTGTCGCTCAGGCTGGAGTGCAATGGGGTGATCTCAGTTCACTGCAACCTCCACCCCCCGGGTTCAACAATTCTCCTGCCTCAGCCTCCTGAGTAGCTGGGATTACAGGTGCCCACCACCCACACCTGGGTAACTTCTGTATTTTTAGTAGAGATGGGGTTTCACCATGTTGGCCAGGCTGATCGTGAACTCCTGACCTTAGGTGATTCGCCCACCTTGGCCTCCCAAAATGCTGGGATTACAGGCGTGAGCCACCGTGCCTGGCCTATATGTATTATATTTTTAAACAGCTCTTCACATTAGATTATTAACAAGTAGCCAAAATTGTTGGCATATTTTTATTCAAAATATTTCATCATTGTCCTTTTACTATCTTTAAGGATCTGTAGTGACAAATTCTCTTTCAGTGTTGATATTGGTAATTTGCATTTTCCCTCTTTCTCTCATTATTTCTGAATTAGTATAGCCATTAATTTATCAATTTTGTGGATTTTTCTTTTTTTAAACTGGCTTTTTACTTTTCTCAATTGTCAGTTTTCTGTTTCTTCCATTTCTGCTCTTTATTCCTACCTTTCTTTGATACACTCTTGGTTTACTTTTCTTTTTCTAGCTCCTTCAGGTAGAAATTTGGGTCATTAGGTTAAACCTTTTTGATTTTCTAATATGAGTATTTAAAGCTATACATTGCCCTATATGTACTGTTTCAGTTTATCCTACATATATATTTTTTAAATTTTACTTTTGTGTGTGTGTGTGTGTTTTTTATTAGACAAGGTCTCTGTCACCCACACTGGAGGGCAGTGGGATGATCTTGGTTCACTATAGCCTCTGCCTGGCAGGCTCAAAACAGTTCTCCCACCTCAGCCTCCAAAGTAGCTGGGACTACAGGTGCACCACCCCACCAGCTATTTTTTTTTTTATTTTTAATTTTTTTGTAGAGATTGGGCTTTATCATGTTGCCCAGGCTGGTCTCAAACTCCTAGGCTCAAGCAATCTGTTCGCCTTGGCCTCCCAAAGTGCTGAGATTACAGGCGTGAGCCACCACACCTGGCCCATCCCACATATTTTACATGTTATGTTTTTATTATCAGTCAGGACATAAGTTACACTTAGTCTTGAAGTGTATTTTATCTGACATTAATATAACATTACTCCAGACTCTTTATGCTGCTAACATGGTATTATGTTTTTTCATCTACTTATTTTTGATCTATCTATTCTTTATTTTTAAAGTACATGTCTGCAAAAGCCAGCATATGCACTGTAGTTGGGATTTGCATTTTAAAAAATCCGATTTGACAGTTTCATTTGTTAATTGGCATATGTTGTCCATGAACGTTTAATTATGGATAATATTGTTGGATTTATTTTATCAATTTATTATTTGTTTACTATTTGCCACTTCTGCTTTTGATTCTTCTGTTCCTCCTTTTTTTGGCCATCTTTTGACTAATTGAATTTTTTAAAATTCTATTTTAAATTTAGTTACTGGCATTTTAGCCATATTGTCTTGCATTACTTCTTAAGTGCTGCTTTAGGAATTATAATTTCTTCTTTGCTTTTCACATTGTGCCTAAAATCAATATTTTACTAATTCACATAAAATATAATATTTAAATAGTTCCTCAGGAAGAAAAACATGGCTTTAAGAATGTTGAGAGAATATCAGGTAAATCTTTACTTTTAAATAGCTGATCTTTTAAGGTTGTTTACCTATCGTAGTCCTAGAGAAACTCAAGGTAGAAAAGGGGTTAACCTGATTAGATTTGTTGATGTGATTTTTGTGAAATAGGGTGAACCACACAGTATTTACAACTGCACTGTTGAAAACCTCAACGGCTTGGAATAACAGGAATGGAATTAATTTAAAACAAGATAAAATGAAAAGAGGGCATTGGACATCTAAATATACTGGGCAAAAGGCAGGCTGAGATACAGGCTCTTTGTTTTATAATTTTGTCTAGGTTAGTTCTGGATAGGGCTATGGTAGGTATAATAAAGATTCATTCTGGGAATGTCATATTTCCCTTGATGTACTCTATAATTTAAGGCACATTTTAAACCCTAGTAGTTTTGCAATTTAAAGTGGACCACACAGAATAAGACATTGATTAATTCATTTGAGGAGACAATATTCCAATTTATTTAATAGGTATTTTTACTAGATCTTTACTAACAGCATCTATAAATAAATAATGATGGACATACGAGCTGTAATTATCAACATCAGAGCATGCATTTTAAAAGTTTCAGAACTGACTATTAACATTTACTAATTTTGGGTGTTTAGAATCCTACTTTTCCAGAGTCTACTAATGAGACACTTAATGAACAACAAAGCTGTCATATATCTTCTTGGGAAGATTAGAAATATCCATTAATCCACTAAAATTAAGAAGGGAATGGTTACATATGGAATGCTAATTATAAAATAAATTCTTGATTTTAATGAAAATGTTCACAGCCTTTTTGGGATACATCTGAAACATTTGCTAAAACCATTTTTTTCTCCTGATGGTGACAGCCAGACTGTTTAAGCTTATGACATATAATTTTCCAGACACTCTTTTTAGAATGCTCAATAATATCATTTGGATGTGGATTAAGGCATGTGCAGATGCTAAGGCCTTACTCAAAGCTGCATAACAAATAAGAAACCTCATGAAAGTGTCCTTTTGCATTTCATATTTTTGAAAGATGGCCAATTATCTGTATGAAATGATAATGTGTAAGCAATAGTATAATTTAAAAAATTATTTCTGTATGCTATCTCTGTGTGTACAGAATAAATACAAGAACTGAGAAAATTTTTAGGTATAATTTAAGCTAAACAATATTTTTGAATTAAAAAAACGTATATCCAAGTAGTTTCCATTATGGAGAGTTGCCTCAAGTTTTCCTGTTAGGTAGAATGTATGTATTAGAGTGTGTAGGATGGGTTTGCACATATGTCAGTGTATGTAGCATATGTATCAAATGCGGAAGAAATTTTCTAAAGGGCATTACTTACCTGGGATTTAGACTTATTGTCAGAATCTTGAATCTAATTGTCAACATACCCAATCCAAGAATCAATTTCAGGTTGTCTCAACCTCAGCAGTTGTGACATTTTAGGCTTTGTTTTGTTGGGCTGCCTTTTGCATTATTTGATGCTTAGCAGCATCCCTTACCTATACACACTAGATGCCAATAGAAATCTCCCATTTGCAGTGACAACCAAAAATGTCCCCAGATATTGTTAAATGTCTCATTTGGGAGAGTTTCAAAATTGTACCTGGTTGAGAACCATTGGTCTCTATATAACTTGGTTGTTATAATCTTCACTTTCTAAAAGACTTTACAAGGATGGCTAAGTACCAAAAAGAGCCACTTACTTTCACTGTATCTTATCAAGAAGTTAATTGAGACTGTGGACTGTCCACACAAGATGGCAAAATAGAAGCCAACACCATTTATTACCATTCACCTCACTAGAACAACACCAAACTTTGACAACTATCTGAGTACAGAAAACACCATCACAAGAACCAAAAATCAGGTGAGCAATCGTAGTACCTGGTTTCAATTTCATACTGTGGAAAGAAACATTGAGGAGGGAAAAAGAGGCGGTGCTGAATTGCTGTTGTCACCCCTCTTACCCCCATCCTCTGGCAGCAGCTGTGCCTCTTGGGGAGAGAATCTGTGTACTCTGGGGAGGGAGAGTACAGCAATTGGGGGACTTCACATTGAACTCAGTGC